AGGCATGAAGCCATGCTGATCCGTCGAGATACAGTGTGCAAAGCTTTGAACCAATTTTTCGAGTATAATCAACTCAAAAAGTTTGGAGGTAGCTGTTAACGAAGCTATTCCAGGGTAGTTTGAAACAGTCCTTTTGCAGTCTTTCTTGTTGATTGGGAACAGGAAAAACTCTTTCCAGCAAGCTGGGAAAACCCCAGACATCAAGGAGAGATTGAAAACGTTGGCTAGAGGTATCGCGAGAACAGCCAGGCAGCGTTTGAGGACTAAGACGGTATGCCATCTGGTCCGGAACCCGTTGAAGTTTTTAGCTGCCTCCCGGCTGAAATAACCATGGGAATGTTCAAGTCGTGACAGTACGAACCAATGATGGTAGCTATCACCGAGTAATTTTGAACGGATGGATACTACCGATCCGAAACAAATTTGCTTCACTGGCTGAGGAGAACCAGGACTCCTCCAACGGCGGAGGCTAAGAGGCCTCTGCACACCAGTTAAGCTATGTAGGGGAAATGGATGTAATGTCGGCCTAAATTTCCCTAATTTCGGCCCATATATAAATTCAGCAATAGACTAAATTTTCAATAGCAACCAAAAATATCCATTTGTACTGTCCCAATAACGCGTTCATCTAGATAAAATTGATAAATAGCACATTTTTAGCGATGGGTCCAATCTTAGACCCAAAGGCCAACATTAGAGCCATTTCCCCTATTTCTTGAATTTTCAAAAAAAATTCCGACATTTCCCATTATGTCTGGACGATCAAGCGTTGCACGCTGACATCGAGTTGTATTTGACCAGATAAGGTAATCTATGTTGTCCAGTGGTGGATCCTTGTCGCATGCCAAATGCATCTTAAGTTTGTCAATTCTTGTCCAATTCTAAGGAAATCGCAGCTGCGCTGAGTACCTACACTGCGCGGCAATGCTTCGTTTAATTCAAGCTAAATCCTGTTCCGTTTGACACTTTCGAGGTACATCTAAACATCGAATGCATGCCGGGGAAGGAGAAGTACAATTCTACCCCTGGCTCAACGTAATGGCCGTTAACGAACTAGGCCATTCAAAGTGTTTTTATGTTACTTCATACGTGAAGTTAGCGATTTTCAGAGTTGGTTGGAAATGCTAACATGAAGCTTTAGTGTGATAATTTATTAGCTAGAGAATGATCTTTAGAAAAGGGTAGGTGGATAGGTCCGTTAGAGTACGGCAGTATAAAAATTGAATAGAAGTTTGAAAATGAGCGAAGGGCCATTAATGCGACAGTTTTTAAAGTTAGACGCACATCTTTTGCCTAACCCGTACGATGTACGCGGAGACTTGAAGTATGTCTTCAAGTCTACAGGCAAAAAATGTGCGTCCTCCTTTTGCTCATAAACTGACTGTGGCTGTGGAATAGTTCTAGACCAACTTGGTCATCTCAGAGAGAAGGCAGTAGGGTGGTTGTTGCGTTGGTCATGACGAGAGGAGCAACACAATTGTTGGGTAAAGAAGAATTGCATTATAACACACCATCGACTGGAAATGCTCTCGCAACGTGTAGCTTTATGTAGTGATGAAACGTCGCTAGAACTATTCCACAGCCGCAGTCAGTTTATGAGCAAAAGGAGGACGCACATTTTTTGCCTGTAGACTTGAAGACATACTTCAAGTCTCCGCGTACATCGTACGGGTTAGGCAAAAGATGTGCGTCTAACTTTAAAAACTGTCGCATTAATGGCCCTTCGCTCATTTTCAAACTTCTATTCAATTTTCATACTGCCGTACTCTAACGGAACTATCCACCTACCCTCTTCTAAAGATCAGTTTCTAGCTAATAAATTATCACACTAAAGCTCCATGTTAGCATTTCCAACCAACTCTGAACTAGGCCAGTTTGTCCGAACGGTCACAACATCGTGGAGCCATAACGAATCTGCGCAGTCAAGAGCGAGATTTGCCGACGAAATCATCGGCGCCAGAGGGCCTCCGCTCCAGGCAAGTCGTTTATCGCTACATAAATTCATCTTAATTAGCACCCGCTCATCTGTTACAGTCGACACCACCACCGATCGAACTACCGGGTTCGATCCGTCCATTCAGTCCAGTTGCAAGGGCCGCTGATAAATTCGTTCCATCCACGAAGTTCACGTTGTAGCAACGTCGTCGTAATAGCAATGTCGTCGTAACAGGCAATCCAGAAATCACCCGTTGGAATCCACGGTCAAAGAAAATCAGCGATCAGTCCAGAAAGAAAGATACAGTTTACCAAATCACTAAGTATATCAAAATACCGAAACGTTCAGCGATCGTCGATCTACAAAATCTGCAAACAAACGGTCGAAAACATCAGAAACACGTCGTCGTCCGGGGATCATGATCGAGCGAGCAACCCTGGCAGGTAGCTCATTCGATGCGGAAAAACATAAGGCAGCCCAACGTTGCCTGCCAGGTAAGTTGTTCCAGTTTTATAATGTACTTAACAAATTCTGCCGACAAATTGATGCACCAGTAAAGAAGACGAAAATCCACCAGTAGCGGTCAACTACGAGCAGCACCCCGTAACGTAGGTAGATCACCTTTTCGTGGTACGTTACGGGATGTAAGATCTTCCACCGATTCCCAGTCTTGACTACTTCAAACTAGGGGAACAGGATTTTTCAGTAATCAAAGGAACACATCTTAGTCCTTGTTACTTTTTATGCCTTATTGATAGTGATAAGTCCTCGGGTTTCCTGGACCGAGGATGATCTTGAAACAAGGAAAAAAATGAGTTAGTTAGTCTTCACCTATGTGATTCCTAATCTTCTATTCGTTGTTCCCTAGTTTGAAGTGAGTTCTGATGCATGGTCATTATCGGTGTCATTGCTTGTTTTTGTTGCTAAGGAATTCCATTTTGACTGACAAAGGGGCGCGCCTTTGGAGGGTGTTCCAACACTCCGAAGGGTATAAATAGCGGAACCTTTCAATTAGAATCGATTCCTTGCGATGAAGGCAAGCATGACAACTGTATCAAAACCTAATACTTCATGAATACTTCATCATTTCTCAATAGTGATGAAGTAATACGACATGCACTAAACCTGAGTGGTGCGAAGTGAAATTTTCTTCATGTTGGTAGTGTTGAAATAAACGTTTCATCACCGTCGGTTGGTAGAGAGAAGTGTCAAACAGCTTTTTGTGCAGAGCCGATTCGTGACTTTGTGACTGTTTGTTTACATTGTTCATAGCTGGAGTTTTTACGGAGTGGAATAAAATTCAGAATTGTTGCAAATCAGATGCAAATTTAATGTGGCCGACGATATCTATGGAAGTGCTGTCGAAATTCCCAAATCGTGTGAAACTCGAACATGAAAACTCTATAGAACCCCCGTAGAACCTCGCTGACAGCAACTAAAATATCCACTGAAACCTCTTCTGTCGCGGGAAAAATCTGTTGAAATTTCCTGGAACTTTTGTACTATCATCACAAATCTCCATAGAACGTTCTCCGAAGTCACAGTCGTTCCTGAGCGAAAAAAATCGGAGGGGTTTTTTTCAGCGCAGGAGTCTACTTTGGTCCAAAATACGCAATAATACTGTTATTTTTAATTGTTTGAGTCGTTTCGAATCACGTTTTTAAAAAGATCAAAAACATTACTGAAAAATATTTATTTTTTATTTTGGACGATAACAATACTTCTATCTATTTCAACGAACCACAATGATAAAAAAGTGGTTCGATTTGACAGCTCGAAAGTGGTTCGATTTTGAGGTCCGTCTTCGCACCACTCAGCACTAAACTAAGGACACTGTAGAGTAGAAATCGAAAGTTGTCGAGCGATCCAAGCTCCAGCAGGAGAACAATAGTTTTATGTAATCTACGAAACTTTAAAGTGTCTAGTATATGAGCAAGAATAAGAATAGCAAATGTGTCCGAAAAGTCGGTTTTACTCGCTAACAGTATTCATATCTGATTGCAATTCTGACTGTGGTCAAGTTTTACTAAGTATGAATTCCAAAATATTTTCATAGGACCGATATAATCGGTTCCTTCTACTGTATTTTAAATCAATATCAATAAAAAAGCATGAGAAGTTAACTGAACAGCATAATGTAGTCTACGTCAACCATGCGGTCGTGTCTTGTACACAACCCCATCAATGATTTTTTAACTAATTTTCAATTTTGTAAATTTAGGCAATTAACAGATCTATCATTCTACATCAGGTCACATAAGCACCTAAAAACCAACTTTTTGACAAATCTAGATAGAGCTGGAATTAGGGCGTAACAGCCTTTGTAAGCAATGACTACTCCTGTTCATTTATCGGTATTCAAGGCATGCCTACACAGACCAACATATCTATCGGGTAGGAGAAGTCTTCCTTTACTCGATGGTGATGTCGACTTGTCAGGGAGAACCATGCCTTCCGAGAAATTATCGATAGAAGTCATTGTTTACAAAAGCTATTACGCCCTAATTCCAGCTCTATCTAGAAATATTTAGAACAGTAAAAAAGAAAACTGCTAAAGGGAGAATAAATTTGAAATTTCACTATCCGGATTTCCGGATATCAGGATATCGGAATATCCACATAGTTACTATCCGCCTGATAACCTTCTCAACGCTTTCTACAATTATTTTATTTCAATATTGGGCAGTAGAAAGAACGATATTGCATTTGTCTGAAAGTATTTTTATTATGAAAACTGAAATATCCGTATAGTTGAAGTCCCAGCTCTAGTTTAAACCTGGTAATTTGGAAAATCTTATGATGGGAAGAGGAGGAGGGGTAACGTAATTAGTGCACGTCCCCAAAGAGAGCTTTATGGAAATTATGGACAGACGCCCAAAAAAAAAATGTTATTCCATTATTATTAAGCAGAGATCGGATGGATTTAAGATAAAATAAACAATGCATTCTTCAACGTTCATACAAAACTGTGATACATTTTCATTTTCCATGTGACATAAATGCATCTAGTCTAACTCGACCGACCTACTAGCACTTCATCAATCACATTTTTACCCCCACTCACCTGTGACAAGCTCAGCACCAGTGAGGGCGTTCCACCCCCACTCGAGTTGACCATTGACGCACTGCTAACCGCACCATTATTAACCGTAACGTGATTATGATGGCCACCGCCAACACCATTATTATTGCTATTGCTACCCCCATCCTCCTGTCGCTGATGCTGCTGCTGCTGCTGCTGCTGTTGTGATGATGGCCTCTGATTGACAGCATCGCTTGACGACGACGACGACGACGACGGTACCCCACCTGAACCCCTCGCTGACGACGACTGTGGGTGATGATGGCCAAGCATTGATATATGATTCTCGCCATTAGCCGTGAGATTTATGCTGGGGTCGCGACCGTTATTAGGATGGCTCGCGGTTAATTGATTGTTGGCCGCGGAACCGCTGCTATTGCTGCTATTGCCGGAAGCCGCGGACGAAGGTGAGGACGACGAATTATTGCTAGCGATGATCATATGACTCCGATGCTGCTGCTGCTGCTGGGCCGCAGCCAAATGCTGGGCACTGGCCACCAGTCCGTTTGTAATATGACTACTGACACTTGTTAATTGTGAGTTACTGTTATTGTTGTTCAACGAGTTGAGATGCTGGGTGAGGGTTAAATTACTACTACTGCTGCTGACCACTACCGACGAAGACTGCTGCTGCTGCTGCTGCTGATGATGAGGGTGATTGCCAGCAATTGTTCTAATTGAATTTGGATTGTTGTTGCTGTTGCTGTTGGAGTGGTTCAGTTGCTGAGAGGTAGGAATGACTTGGAAATGTATCGAAGTGTTGTCCTTCGGAGCGATGGAGGATCGGTTGCCGTTGCTGTTGCCGTCCAGGAGACTATTGCCGTGGGACTGTTGGAGTTGTGCTTCCCGTGCACGCCGACTGTCGATCCAACGGGGATACATCTGTAAGGGGTGGCGTGGGAGGTAGAAAGATGGGGGAAGATTTAGATTGAGATTTTGCGGTCAATGTAGAACATTGGGATTTATCTTATGGAGCTGTTGATTGGTGCTAAATTGAAGACGATTGATGGTGATTACTGAGGTGGTTGCTTTAGATTGTAAATTTGAATTAACAGTCTGAGAGAATGGGGAATACTCACCCTCGATCCAATCAACACGTTCGGCGCCGTTCCCGCGAGATGTCCTCCATCGGGCCGTTTGCCCAGTTCACTTTTGGCCGCACTGATCCTCCTCATCGGATGGGAACAACTCTTTCCATCGACACAGTTCGCATCCGGACAACCACACTCGAGCTGCTTCACCAGGGCCGACTGCCGTGCCATCCGTTGTTTCTCCATCAGCTGACTCACGATCGCTTCCACCGTTTCGGCCGTGGAAATCTCGATCTCGTTCGTCGCATCCGGTTCGTCTTCGCTGAAAACTGCCGGAAAAACTGTCCCATCAGTGAAATAGCCGCTATTAATCCAGGCGGATGGGTTAAGGATACTTACACATCGGTTTGAGTTGACTGACCAGTTCCTCTTTGGTCCACTCCTTCTTGTCGCCCCACAGGGCCAGGTTCGGAGTGATGACCGCCATCTTGTTGTCGTCCGGATAGGGGACGTTCAGATAGTGGACGAGGACAATGTCTGGATTTTGAAGCAGCCAATAGCACCGCCGGTGGAAGGTTGGTAGGATGGCCGAATGTACGTAGCAACCGTAAATGCACTAGCGAATCAGATAATGGGACAGGTCAGTTACAAGGGTCCCATTGTTGGGGTTGAGAGGGAAACGATGAACTTACCTCAGTGCCTTGCACCTTAAGCTTCATGTGGTCTTCGCGGGTTGTCTTGCCATCTTTTCGCTTTTTCCAACAATAGCCGTCGCGCCGGTAGCGAACCTTCTTTCGTGAGTAGAGCAACATCGAACCACTTTTTGGCCTGGAAATTAAATTTGCAACAAAAGAAAGTCAGTTGAATAATTGACGATTCGTGGTTTTGTTCTAAGAGATTGCATTTTAAATTTCGGTTTTGGCAAGAATAAACGACGAAATGTCGCTGAATAAAGAACAAGCCCTTGTTAAGAACGAAGCTCGCTGTTTTTTTTGCACCGGAAGGTGCATGTGTAAAACAGGTTTTAAGGCGCAACAAGTCTTGTGACGTCAATTATTTCCGGAAGGTGATTGCAAACATTTGCCCCGATTCTCAAACTAACCAACAGGTGCCAATGGTCCACCTCCATTGACGCGTGGAAAATTCCTTCAAACGCCCAATTAGCGCCGCAATTTCCCTCAAGCAATAACAAGAATTTTTCACACCACCTAGGCCACTGCCGGTTCTCAGGTTGCAAATTATTTCAAACTTCCTACAAATTCACTTCCCGCGCCAATTTGAGCTCGGTCGAAACCGACGCACATAAAACTCCCAGGACTCCAGCCGTTGGTTGGTTGGTTGGCTGGGCGGAGACCGGCGAAACAAGCTTTCCGAGAATTAATTAGAGGATAATTTCACGCCTCTCGTGTCTGCGTGTGTTTGAGTGTGTTTGTGTGTATGTGAGAGCCACTTTTCGCGCTGAACACGCGTGTATGAATATGGTGCCAACTACGCGCGTTCCTAGCAATACACGCCGATGAAGAAATTCCTGGGGCCGACGACGACGACGACGACCGTCTCATTTCGCATATCATAATTTATTTCCGGTAGAAGGCAGCAGCTTAACCACGACGAGCACTACTGGAGGCACGGCAACTATTTCCAACTAGGGTGGGAAGGGGCGGGGGAAAAGTTTGTTTTCCCAAGCCGACAACTATATTATTATTTTAAAGCGTGCACAAATCCATATGTGAGGCAATACTTTCGAGAGAAGTGTAACAACGGCCGGCGCAATTGAAGGTGCGTGCATGCATGTGAGGAAGGCACCGGTTCTGGGAGTTAATTATTTTGTTTTCCGTTTTACCAAGTTGTATTTAACACCGGGTGATTTGGTTTGACTTAGTGCTGCTGGTGCTTGTGCTTGGAAGTTATACTAGGAGGGCTGTGGATTTATGGTTAAGATCAGATTAGTTGGGGTTATCCTTGATTCATTTCGAGGTAGAATCTAGGGGGAGACAACTGGAGTATATATTTGGATTCAGTTTCTAATGGGTTGTTTTTCAAGTTTAAGATTGTTTTTTATATTTTAAATGTGATCAAAATTACAATCAGAACTGTTTCAACATTTAATCGCTTTCATTGGTGCGTTTCATATTTAAGCATGGATGCTAACCATTTACACCAGGCCCGTATTAAGTGAAACATTATCAATGCAAAATCAGTAATCAAACTGATTTCATTGAAAGCAGGATTAGTTTTCCATTTGATTCAACAGTGTAAATTTTTGCTACCAACCAAAATGAGATCAACTGGGGCAAAATTAGTTACATCATGACAGCAAGGTTGGATTTCAATTTGATTTCCAGTTTTGCTCGGGAAACGACTAAAAAATAAGGTCACCTATTTTCACTGAGAGATCCGTGTAGATAGCATCGCAAATTACAAAAGATGTTTGCAAAAGATTTGATGCAGTGGACCTCTTCTGCATAAATCCATTTTTTTCGGAGACAACGTAACTGGAGCAAGTGTGTTTAAAATAATCCAAAACTATCAGCTCAAAAAGGGTTGAAACTACGCAGAAAGCCGCAATGCCTCGATATTTGATTATTGACTGCTTATCACCTTTCTTGAGGACAGGGAAAACCAAAAAATTCTTCCAGCCATCAGGGAAGATTCCAGAATGCAACGAGAGGTAGAAGATGAATGCTAGTGGTGCGCTCAAGACTCCCATAGAGTTTTTAATCACCACAGATGGAATTCCATCAGGACCAATGCTGGATGGTTTTTTTTTAGCGAAGACCTGCCCTTTGGACGTCATCTCTCGATAAAGGTGGAGATTCAGCAACTGAACGTACGGGAACGTTACTTGCAGCATTTGAAACGTGTTCGTCACAAAAACGCTGAAGAAATGTGACCTGAATAGATCCGCGATACCATCCACATTGCACATTTCTCGATCTCCGTTGAACATTCCAGATTCCAGAAGTTTTTGGGGTAGTTTTAAACTTATTTCGAAGTTAACGCTGGTGGTCTTGTTGAGCTGCTTATACTGTTTGTTAATGCGGATGTTTTTCTTTCACGACACGTCATTTCGCAGTTCACTAACTTTTTCAAAACAGCCCGTTTCGATGATTTAAGACTTTTCAAACGAGAATGACCATGCAAGGTGAATTGGTATGGTTGGAGTTTTCTTCGGTACGAACTTCCAGTAGTCATGAAATGCTATCCATAGTGCTACGAAAAGAAAATGCCTGGTTCAATTTCAATGATATCTGCAGAGATGAATGATGCACATACCTCTTAACTAGTGGCTCAATCGTCTCATAAATTGAGCAGCTAGAAGCAACTTCACGGCTAAGAAAACATAAATAAAGCAATTCATGATTCTCATTGGAAACACTATTTAGTTGCAGGAGATCAGCAGTGCTGTAGCTGTCCAGGATAGTTGCTGCCAAATGTTTGAGTAACTGGATCAAGAATGGAGGAACCCGGCACTTGTATTCATCTTAAATATGATCCAAATAAAGAGAATTTAGGTGTTGATTAATCAACTCGGAATCTCCAACTAGTATAGGAATCAACTATTAGTATAGCCTATGCTCCAAAATTTGAAAATCGTAAACTTCACGCATGGAGTAACAAAAAACTCTTTTAATGTAATAACTCAAGGCGGGACTAACCGTCAACATTGCTGATAATGGTACTGTACGCAACACCACCGTACTGCTTCACTCTTAAGGTACGTTTAGACTATCTGATTTGTTGGTCTGATTCGAGTTGACTGCTCGATAATTTTGTCGGATGCAATGTTCGAATGCGTTCACACTTTTTCGAGATGATGATCAGATATGACGTTTGATTTGTCGAACGCAATAGGTTTCCCAAGTAACATTGCAAGTTTTATCGAGGTTTTAAAGCATGCTACAAGTCTAAATTGCGGTCTACAGAACCCTCACAAAACCACAATTGCTACTTGGGTTGTGTTTAATTTTCATTCGATTCATTCAGCAAAATAGCCGCAAGTGAAATGAAAATATTGATTTTTTTTTCTTCTAAAATTTCATGGCTTTGTGTTTTGATGGCAATTCCAGCAGCAAGATAAACCGATTTCACGATTCAATATGTATAATTTGACTGATTTTTATTTCCTAGTGTGTTTGGCCGTCAACAAAACAGTGTTAATATAATACGAAGTATGTTCTATATGATAATAAGCATGCCAGACAGCAGGTCTGAAAGCCTACTAAGATTTTTTTTAGAGCTTCAGAAAGATTTGGAGATTTACTGAGAAATTTGAGATCTACTGTAAACTTCGGAAAATTTTACAGAAATTAAAAGAAATTTGCAGTAATTCAGAAAAATTAACAAGACCTCTAGATCTTCAGAAAAATATTCAAAGAAATTTTCAAAACTTCAAGCAAGTTTAAATCTTTTCAGATCAATTTGTAAAACTGTAAAGGAAATTTTGGTAAAAATTTAGGGAACTTCGCAGACCTTCAGAAAAGTCCAAGAAACTACAGTGAAATGTAAAGAATTTCACAGAAGTTTGGTGATCAACTGAAACATTATTGAACATCAGAAAAGTTCGCTAAAGAACATTGGAAAAATCACAAGAATGGTCAAAGATCTTCAGAATTTTGTTTAGACCTTCAAGAAAGAGTGCAGATTTTCTGATGCATTTTTAGAATTTCAGAATTTTTTATGGATCTTCAGTGAAATTTGCAGAGCTTCAGCTTGGTCGTTTAAAAAAATATTTATACGATTTCAGGGAAAATTTGTAGATCTTGAGAGAAATATTTAAAACTTCAAGGAAGCTCAACTATTTTCAGATAAATTTTGAGAACTTTAGATAATTTAGAAGATCTGCAGGGACATTTTCAGATGTTTAGGGTAGCCTGAGAGCCTACAGAGGAATTTATAAAACTTGAGACAAGTTTGCAGATGTACTGAGAAATGTATAGAACTGCAAAGAATTTTGCAGATCTTCAGAGACATTCAGTGATTCAGTGTTTCAGCAAAGTACTTCAATTCCAAAAACAAATCTCAGCGAAGTACGAAAGTCCAAGATTTGCAGAAATTCAGAACTCCATGATAGTTGAAAATAGATACATCTGAAGTACTTCAGAAAAGTCCACAGACTTAAGAGAAGTATGTAGAACTTCAGGAAGTTCGTAAATTTTTAGAAAAAAACTCACAGAACTTCTGGAAAACTCACCGATCTTGAAATGTATTTACACAACTTCATAAAAATTCATATATTTTCAGATAATTTGTAGAGTTTTCGTGAATTTCAAAGAATTTCAGATAAATCTGCAGAACTTTATGGAAGGCCAAGAATCCACAAAGAAATGTACAGAACTTTAGAGAGGATCTACTGAAAAATCAGCAAAATTATATTGAGGTTCTTGAATTTTAAGTGAAATTTACAGAACCTCGGGGAAGTTCAATGATCTTTATAGATATGTATGTATGTATGTAAGGTAGCCACCATCCCTTCGAAGATCTTGTCTTGTATGCAGCTCCACTTAATAGCAAGATCAATTTGAGCTACCGATCTGAATTCACAATATCGCTGTATGAAGGGCCAAAAACGGTGGGGTGGACCCGTAAGCAGAGGCACTTACGCGAAATCCACGGGAATTTAAGAATCTCCTTCCAACGATACGATCCAACAAATCGAATAACGCAATTCGCAATACTTATTAAGCTTCCTACAGGATGGTTTGTTAAGAAGGGCGCGTCAATCTCCATGAAACTGTTGGAGTAGAATTCACACCATCACAATCGAATCGGTAGGATAAAGAAAATGATAGTGTTTATTCCCTCCTAGACTCCGGTTGTCATACCAC